CATTTTGAAATAGGATCCTACTATGAAGTTAAGTCTGGCCTTGAACTCACACTGTAGTGCAGGCTCACCCTGAACTCATGGTGATCGTCTTTCCTCAGCTTCTGAAGCATTTGCCACCACATGTATCTTGGTACTATTTTTTTTTTTTAAGTCTTTAATTTAAAAGCAGAAATGCACCCTATCATTTTCATCTCTTTCTTGTACTGCAATGTCTGTCTCCAAAACCTTTACCATTTTTTTCTTTCTTTGACTTTAGAATGGAAAGTGAGATCTAAAACCAAAGGATCAACATTTCATCAGGATTTATTGAGGGGACAAACCTCCAGAGAGATATTTATGGTAAGGCTGACCTTCCTCTCTTGTCCCCTTCTTTCTCCTCCCCTCCCCCCTTCACCTTCTGTCTCTGTGTCTGTCTGTCTTGTCTGTCTGCCTGCCTGTCTGTCTATTTTATTTTTCTTTTATTTGAGACAGGGTCTCACTCTAATTCAGGCTGACCTCACTGTGTGGTCAAGGCTGGCTTGGAACTTATGGTGATCCTCCTGCCTCAGCCTCCTCACTGCTGTGATTAAAAGTGTGTACTATGATGCCCAAGTAATAGGACATCAATTTTCTACATTTAGAAAAGATTAGGAGTTCTGTTAAAATCAAAAGAGAGATATTTGATAGAAGTTACCTTGAATTAAGAGAGTCAGAAAGTAGCATCTGTAGAGGGAAGCCTGGAGTGTGATAAATTTGAAAGATCCCCAAAAGTTTAAGCTTCTTACTTCAGAGTTCCTACAAGTACATATTCCCAGATAAGCTAAATAATTTAAGATTTTTGTGAAATCATGTAGAAATCTTTTTAAAATTAAAGTAGGTGGCAGTGTTTCTAGCAACAGCTTCCATGCATTGTACCCTGAGGAAATCAACAAACCAGATGTAGTGACTTGTGCTGGATTTATTTACTTTACTTTCCTGCATGACAAAATACCTAGTATCCACAAATGAAGGGAGGAAAGGTTTACTGAGCTCACAATTTGCAGAAGTTTTAGTCCATAGTCGACTGGCTCCAACGCAGGGTGACATGGTAGAGGGGAATCACAAAGGAGCAACTATGTATGGCAAACAGAAGCTTGCAAAGTCGTGAAGCAGCGACACCACCATATTGCCTCTCCCTTTTATCCCTTCCACCCTACCTGCCTGGAGGTGGAGCTACCTACACCCACAGTGAGCCCTTCCATTATCCACACATAGAAATATGCTAAACCAATCAGTGAGCTAATGTAGTAAACACCCTTAATCCACTATCATACCCTTAATCCCAGGATATATACCATAGATCCAGCCACTTTCCTAAAATCTCTTCTATGACCACAGGAGGCTTTTGGGGGGACATCTCTATATAAGCCATAACAATGCATGTAGTCCTGGTTATTTGGGAGGTTAAGAAGGGTGCATTGCCTGAGTCCAGAAGTTTGAGGCCAGCCTGGGCAACACTGCAAGACTCAAACTATAAATCAACTGAATAGGAGCTGTATATATGTGATGCAAATGGTCACACTGAGATAATCATTATAATGTGTCTGTCTTTGGATGCAAGGTGTCTGTCAATGTGATGCAAATGGTCACACTGAGATAATCATTATAATGTGTCTGTCTTTGGATGCAAGGTGTCTTTTAATGAACCCATAAAATCTTTGAATCAGTCTTCATCTTTTTATCAACAGGCAGGAAGCCACAATGGAGCAGAACTCTGTGATTTGAAGCATTTTAGGGACTTCATCAGTAGACACCCGGCCCTCAAGTCATATATAGCACCGGAGAATAAAGGGAGCACTTCTGAGTATGATCAGTATGCAATAGACATCCTTCCTCTGGACAAAGAAATCTCTACTGGAGAGAAACTTTCTATGTCAAATCAGCATGAGCCAACCTTCAGCCAACCTCCAGTTGTCCTTTACCCAAGAAGGTTCCCTCAGGACCAACTCTTTGTAGCCAGTGATTGCGGGCAAGCATTTGTTGATCAGTCAGACATTCAGAATGACAACCGAAAACAGAGTGGAAACAAACTCCATGAACTCAATGAAAGAAGGATAGATTTTCTTCACTCGAACAGCCTTGCTGTACTGATGCAAACTCAGGATGGAGAAAAATCCTACAAGGATAAGAACTGTGGAATGGATTTCAGGTATTCTGCCTACCTTAATATTCACATGGGAGCCCATAATGGAGAGAACCCCTACGAATGTAAGGAGTGCAAGATGGTCTTTACAACATCTTCTCAATTTAATGAACATGTAAAAAGACACACTGTTGAAAAGCTGTTCGAGTGTAAGTTGTGTGGGAAATTCTTCAGGAACTCTTCGTGCCTTCACGATCACTTTCAAATTCACAGTGGGATAAAACCCTTCAAATGTACAGATTGTGGCAAAGCCTTCATTCAGAATGCAGAGCTCACCAAGCACGTCCGCATCCACACAGGAGAGAGGCCATATGCGTGTAAAGAATGTGGGAAAGCATTTGCCAGATCCTCCCGCCTCAAGGAACACATGAGAACTCACACTGGAGAGAAGCCTTTTGAATGTGTTAAGTGTGGGAAAGCATTTGCTATTTCCTCAAATCTTAGCAAACATTTGAGGATTCACACTGGAGAGAAGCCCTTTAAGTGCAAGGAATGTGGGAAAGCATTTACTCATTCCTCTGGTCTGAATCATCACATGCAGACTCACAGTGCCAAAAAATCTTATTCGTCTGGAATGTGGGAAAGTTTCCCACGTGTGTTACCCATCACACGTGACTCTGTACTCGAGAAAAACCATGTGAATGTAAACAATGTGGGAAATCCTTCAGGTATTCCCATTTATTTCAGTTATATGAAAGAACTCACACTGCAAAGAAGCCCTATGAACATAAGGAGTGTGGGAAAGCCCTCAGTTCTTTTAAGTTCCTTGCCAAATCATGAATGAAGGAATACTGAATAAAGGAATAGTGAAGAGGAGCTATTTATGTAAGAAGAGTGGGAAAGCTTAAAGTTATCCTATTAACTTTGAAGATACAGATCAACTCTGGGAGAAACCTACAAATGGAAGGAATTTGGGAACATTTTTGGTCCTCAGGTCTTAAAAAACATGCAAGAGTTCATAGTGGTGATGATTCTATGAGTCGGAGGGGGGGGAAGATTTTGCTGTATTCTAAAGATTTATATCAGAAATCTTGCTACAGAGAAGCAGTATTTATGTAGAGAATCTGGGAAATTACACACACACACACACACACACACACACACACGAACTTACACTGAAGAGAGGTTCAGATTCAAATACTGTGGTTCCTTCTTCAGTTTGTAGTTTGGAGTTTGAACCCCTACTTCCTCATAGCGCTTGGATTTCAAAAATGTCATTAAAATGAGGCTAAAACAGAATGAAGTTGAAGGAGTCTTTAATACAGCATCCCCAGTCATGCTGTAAGAATAGGAAAGTGAAGTCATGTATGGTGCATATGCCTATCATCTCAACATATTGGGATGCTGAGGCACTTACATTAAAAGTTGAAGCCCAGCCCATGTAATTTCATAAGATCATGTCTCAGAATAAAAAAAAATGGGTTGAGAATGTAGCTTGGTAAAAAAGCCCAGTGTTATGTCCCTACTCCTGGCATAAAAGAGACAATGAAGAGCACACCAAGAGAAGACCATGTGAAAAAGACAAGGTGACTATGTACAAACCAGAAGTCTGGAACAGAAGCCAGCCCTACCCATAATTTCATATTGGAGTTTCAAACTCTAGAAGTGAAAGCCAATAAAATTCTTTTTTTAAAAAGTCATTCAGTGTGTGCCATTTTATTAGGAAAACCCTAGGAGCTAATATGATAAAGAATGTGGGAAAGAGTTTAATCCATGAGCCATGAAATTTGTATATGAACCCAGTGTACAGAAAGTATTAAGGTTATAGAGAACGTGGGAAAGCCTTCATTTAGTTTCAGTTGATTGGAAAGAGGAAGGAAATCAGCACAAAAAGAGTACATCTGTAACTATAGTCTTTTTTTGTGTGTGTGTTTTAGTAAGGGTTTACAGGGTCTCACTACCTAATTGGATGGGACTAGTAGTGATCCACCTGTGTTCAGCCTCCCAAGAGCTGGAATTACAGGCATGTGCCACCACACCTAGTCTCAATCTTTGTCTCAGCATGCCCGAGGGGCGGGGCCAGGAGGCATGCTGGGGATTGAACTCCAGCTGCTGCATCTGCCTAAACAGGTGCTTTAATCCGCTGAGCTATTTGGCTGGCCCTATAGTCTTTTATATCTTTGAATTCACTTACACCTCATCTGAAAACACCCTGTACAAAAATGAACTCGAAGAAAAGAAACTTATGAGAGGAATGTGCATTTATATATGAAGTGTTGCACTCAATGTAGAAGAGTAGACCCGTCTACTATTTTTTTGGGCCGGGGTTTGGATCTTCATAAGCTCTGGTTGGTCTCAAACATTTGGGCTCAAACAATCCTCATTGTCGTCTCTGAAGTACTAGAATTAAAGGCATGTATCTGGTTCATAAGATTTATTTTACTCTTCTAAAGTTACTGCAAATGCCCTGTGAGCCAGGAATTGTGACACACATTTTTAATCCCAGCATTCTGGAAAGCTCAGTTAGGTCAGTCTGTGTAATAAGATGCCTGAGGTGCTTATTGGCTTGTCTGGTCAGAGTACTATCTTTCCTTGGGAGCCATTGGTATACAGTGGTATCTTGAATATACAGCCCTCTTTGGCCTGCTTGTTAATATCTCCCTAGTATCAGGCCCTTCATTGTTGCTTGTTATTGGCTGCCATAGGACATGTGCTTACTATACATAAGGCCCTCGGTTTAAGCTCTAGGCCTGCTTAGCAACACCCAGAGAAGTTGTTTAGTATTAGGTGTTTAACTGATTGAATTTGTGGAGGAATGGCAAATAAATTTTATTTATTTTTAACTACGATGAACTCCTTGATGCAGTATCTAATTTACTATTAACTGAAAAATCTAACATGTACGAGTTGATTGAAAATGTTTTAAAATTTCATTTCTGAATGTATAAGCCTATTAGTAATAAAACTCCAGACACTTTAAGGCGTTTCTATTTTTTGTTGAGTATTTTTTTAGCAATGCCCTTCAAACTGCCCCCTGCACCCTGTATCTGGTTTGTTAAATAAAATGAACACATATGTTGGTACTCTTACCACTGAGCTACATTCCATAACCTCCCTTCTTAGACACTGTGATAAGGCCACGTAGGTTTGCTGTGGTGTAAACCTATAGTCCCAGCATTCTGGGAGGGTGAGGCAGGGATATCCCAAATTTGGGCCCAGCCTGGGCAACACAGGGAAACTTTGTTTCAAAAATATGGTAAAATATATACTTTACTACATAAAATTTACTGTTTCAATAATTCATTTTGTAATTTTAATTATTTTTGGAAGGTCTTACTATGTAGTTCAGGCTGGCCTTAAACTCACTATGTACTCAAGAGTGGACTCACATGCCTAGTGATTCGCCTGGTTCAGCTTCCTAAGTGCTGGCATTGTAGGCATGCACCAGTATGCACAGCACAAAATTTAAATAGTCACAGATTTACTTAGAGTCATACTGTTGTGCACCTTTTACCATTATTAGTCTGCAATACTTTGATGTTCCCCAAATGAAACTGTACCATCAAATAAGTAACTACGCAATCCTTTCAGCCCCTTCTGCTGACAAACACCCACATATCATGGGTAATAATCTCACTATTCTGGGTACCTCATAAAATGAAGTCATTATTTGACTTCTTCAGTAAGTGTGTCTTCATGGTTCACCCAGGATGTATTATTACATGTCAGACGTTCGCTTCCTTTTAAGGCTAGTAGATATACCATTATTGGGCTATTTGCACTTTTTTTTTTTTTTTAATTTTAGGGAAGGGTTTACAGGGTGTTCAGGGTCTCACTACTAGATCGACTTTTTTTTTTTTCTTTTTTGCCAAATCCAGCAGCCTTATAACCAACTGGCACAAGTCTTCAACCTAGCCTAACTCTCCCAGCCCCCAAGTTAATACCAGGAGAAGTACTTACTCTTCAGGGAATTCAGTTCAGCACCAGTGGCAGTCATCTGCAAACACAGAAAAGGAGATAAGGAACTAAAAAAAAAAAAAAATCTTTTATTTGTGTGGTACAGGGTCTCACTACGCAGATCGGACTCCTAGTGATTGATACTCCTGTTTCAGCCTCTCCAGCGCCTGGGATTACAGGTGTGCACCACCAAAGCGCGTGCATGAACAGCATTCAGTACCGTGCATCGAACCTCGGTCCTTGCACTTGCCAGGCAGGGGCTTAGACCACAGAGCTACCTCCCCGGCCCCCAGAATAAGGAATTTTGCAGGCTCTGCAGAAACCCTAAAAATGTACAAGGGGCACTTCAAGGACTTTGCCCATTGAGATACAAGCCTGCTAGAAAAGTTTAATAGCAGATGTTTGTTAATTCTTCCCCCTGCCCTCTTTGCATCCCTGTAAAAGACACACAGTTCTCCTTTGCGGGGCAGACTGCTTTATCACTCTTTGTCTACCTGCACCCAAGTAGTTAAACAAACACCCAGTTGCTTTCACAAAAGTCTACCTGTCTCTGGGTCTCCTGCTCGCGTTTTCTAGGACAGCCTGCCTAGGGCTTCCCTGACCCAGGAAACCCCGCGTGGGCGTGGCCCACTTCAAGCCACGACCCCACGTCTGGCTCCAACCTCAACCCTGGCCTCGGGCCGGGTATCTGCGTCCAGCCCTGGCTGCGGCTCCATCCCCGAGCCCATCTGCACCCAAGTGGAGAAAAGTGGGATTACCTTGCCTGACAGCGGTCCCAGGTGCGCGAGTCTGAGCCAAGCGACCCTGTTCTTCCGGTCCCGGGTGAGAAGTGGAAGCGATGTCACCGCTCCTCGCTAGCTCTCCGTGGTCAAGTCGTTTTTCCTTAGTTTGGTTTTCAAGCCAATTTTGGTCAGGCCATGGGAGATGGAGGAATTGGTGGAAAAAGGTGTGGCGGAAGGACATAGGGCACATGTTTCCGGTCAGGTGTGCGCCCGCGGCCATCACCCCTATGGGTCCTGCCTGGAGACAATTTTAGTAGTGTCCAGAGCGTACTGTAAACGACCCCCGTCTCCCAAAAGGAATTCTTCCCAAGTGAAGTTCTCTGGACTCCAGCACTATCCCCTCCAGTTTCACAGACCTGTCTAGTCAGGTGCGTCCTGGGAGAAAGCTGGCTTGAGAGCTCTTCTTTCTCCTGTTTGAGACAGGGTCTCCCTCTCTGTAGTCCAGGCTGACCTCTAACTTGCGTCGATTCTGCTGCATCAGCTCCCCAGTGCTCTGCAGGCTGTGCATAAGTGATGAGGCACCTGACTTGGTCTGCCGAGCTTTCCCATGGATATATAGGCATATTTACCCAGGGTTAACTTTCCTTAGGGATCCTGAGCCTCTGACCTTCTTCCTGGTGGTCAGTATGGCACAGTATCCTTTTCTGGCTCTACGTGTAGTAGCTAGTCTGGCATTTCATGAGAATAAAGTGTATTTGTGGAAGTTTTCCTGATTGTGCAGGGATGTATGGGGGCATTTAGTTCATTTTTTGAAAGGAATACAAAATGGTAAAAGAAAGGGAAAACCAAAAACATTAAAAATGATACAGAATTTAACCAAACAAAATAATAAGAATTCAACGATGGTTGATGTATTACATAATATTATCTTCAAATTAGTTGTTTAGATGACTAGATAGATATAAACATGAAAAACTGGAAAGAGGATAAAAAAGAAAAAGAAAAAGAAATTTAGGCATTAACTGCTCCTTTTAATAGACCAGCAGAAATCAGAAGTACAATTATGCAAGCTATCTTGTGTATATACATAAATATATCTTTTCCCCTTCTTTGTTTTGTCCTTTTCCTCACCACAGGTTTTCCTTCCCATTGAACTAATTCTTTCCCTTTTACAGTATCTATTGTCCCTTTCAGCTCTTATTTACTCTTTCAGGTTCTTACACTAGCAAGACAATGCAATGTTTGCAGTGCAGGGCTAATTTATTTCACTTATGAGTATGGCCTCTAGTTGCACACATTCACCTGCTAAAGCCTTGAGTTTATCTTTTTCTTTATATCTGAGTAATACTCCGTTGTATAAAAATACTATACCTTTTTCATCCATTCCTCAGTTGATGGGCATTTGAGTTGTTTCCAATATTTAACTATGTATGACAAATTGTGCAGCTATCAACATGGATCTACATAAATCACTGTGGTATGATGTTTTCAGCTCATTTGAAAAAATACTTAGGAGGGGAGGAGCTGGGTTGAATGGGACTTACTATCCTAGCTTTTTGAGGAATCTCCACACTGATTTCCATAGTGGTTGTACCAGTCTGCACTACCCCCAACACTGTAGAAGGGTTCCTTTTTCCCCACAACCCCTCCAATAGAAAGTGATTTGTTTCCTTGTTGCATTTTTGTTGTGTTGCGTGGTGCTGGAGATTGAATCCAGGGCTTCCTGGAAGCTTGGCAGGCACTGAACTACTGGGCTGTGTCCTCAGTCTCATATGTAGGGAGATTTTGAAGCAGAATGGGATATCTTGTAGGCATGTAAATATGGGAATCATGGCCAACTCGTGGTTCTCATATGTCTTCTTTTTCTTTCATGAAGTCTGTTTTAGACAGGTCCAATCTCCCTACATGAAGAAAATAGGCAAAAAAGATGACTGACCATCTGTCAAATTGGTATCAGATATGTGGACATAGATCTGTAAAATCATAAACTTACATTCACTAGGGGATATCATTCTCTTGAGAATCATTTCTACAGCATCTGTCTGTTTCTCTATCTGTTTATTAAAGAGATAGATCTAAAGCTTCATTTAAGGGCCAAGTCCCTCATTGAATTTCCCCAGGGAGAGGAGCCACTTACACTGATAAGGGACTACATTGGACACCACAGTATTTCATGTTTAGTAACCGGTCTTCCCCCATCATCCTGATTGCATGCTTTTGACATTGCTGAACATCTTGTCAGGTGGTGAGGGATGTGACGTTGTTCTTTCAGCTCAAGAATTTACTCCTTCCTCACATTTATCAGGCCTCTGCAGTGTGCTTAAGTGTGTGTGGTCAAAGGGGAAATAAGATGAGCATCTGGTCTAGTTGCAGTGTGATATGATCATGTGTAAGAAAGGCCATTAAGGCCGTGTGGACAGAAGAGAGCCATAGTGAATGAGTGTGGACAGAGGGAAGAGCCCCTGGGACCACGGAGCCCTGGGTAGGCAGTGGGGGCCTCAGAACCCAATGCAGCCACTGGTGTCCCTTCCTCATTCTCCTGTGCACATGGGTGAGTATGTTACTTGGCTCAAGCAGCCTGTGTGTGCTGATACAGGAGGCAGTGAGCTTTGAGGATGTGGCTGTGGACTTCACCCTGGACGAGTGGACTTCACTGGACCCATCTCAGAGAAAACTGTACAGTGACGTGATGCTGGAGAACTTCCAGAACCTGGCTGCTGTGGATAAGACCGCTGTCAGGCCTTGTAGCCTCTTAAGGAACAGGTTGTGCCGAGTGCTGTAAGTACTCAGTATGTGTTGCAGGATCAGTGATACCAACTGTGGATGTGGTGAGACATAACAGAGATGGAGGCCCTGCCGTTGTAGGCTTTACTCTACACTTGAGTTCTCAGAATGTGGTCTGAAATCAAGAACATCGCATCACTGTTACTGATGAGTACATGCTCGTCTCCATCAGGCCTAGTGATGGTCCTGGCCATCTGTGTTGTGCAGGCTGTCCAGGTGCACCTGATGCTCTGTAATGCTTTAGAATCACAGTTGTACAGGCTGTGGGTATAGCTCAGAGGTAGAGCACTTTCCTAGCTGGGCAAGATCTTGGATTCCTTTCCTAGCACCCCCCACCCCCACGCAAACAAATTCACAGGTATAGTCATTTCCCCCTTGAAAATGAAGGTTTCTATTTCATGTACTTTGTCTTTTATTGAGGTAAAAGTCTTAATTTTTTATAAATGTGAATGTAAGCCTGAGTTTTGGTTTCACTATTCTGAGATACCAAATTTTATAGGGCAAAACAGAGGGGATGTTTGCATGTTTTCTGAATTATTTCATTGCTTTTATCTGAACTATTATTTCCTGAAACTGGGGAAGGCCCTGCATCTCTTCCACTCTGTGTCTGTCTCTTTCTCCACCTACAGGATGTGAGCTCCTTAAACCCAGCCTCATCTCTTGGTTGGAACAGGAAGAGTTAAGAACAGGGGAGGGAAGCGCTCTTGAAGTTGAGTGCTCCTGGAGAATGACTGTGTGTAGCAAGTTCACTGTTTATATTACAGAAACTTTTATTCTTTGATGCTCTAGGTTCTTTGTTTGATGTATTTTAGCACAAAATCCCACCCACCTGCTAGTATACTTCATTTCCTGTTTGTTTCCCAATTCTTGTAACAGCTCTTGTTACAGTTTTTATTACTATTGTTTCTTTCTTTTTTTTTTTTTCAGGTGGCAAAACCAGGCTTTATTTTGGAAAAAACAATTGAATTGGGTTTTGGTGAAGAGTACGGGCAAGAAGGGGTACCCCAGGCAGTAATGTCCCCCCAAGGGTGGGTTAAGGGCTAAGCTGAGCCTCAGGTGGGTCTCTTGCTCTCAATGCTCCCTTGTACAGCTGTCTCCCCACGGGCTCTGGGGCGGCCTCGTGAGAGGTGCGGGCTGGAGCGGCTGCTGTGGCCCATTCACTTGGGCAGGACATCCGAGGTCTCAGACACCAGCTTCCCATCGCGGGTCTCGATCTTCTTCACAACCACAGCAGACTTGGTACGGGTGAAGCCAGGGCTTTGGATGCTCGCAAAGCCAGGGCTTGTGAGTCCCCCATAGGGTGAGCTCACCATTCCTGAATAGCCACTGGTGGTCTTCATGTGGATGCTCAAGTTCTGCATCCCAGCCTCCAGCCTGTTCTCCTCGCCCTCCAGCAGCTTGCGGTAGGTGGCGATCTCGATGTCCAGCGCCAGCTTGACATTCATGAGCTCCTGGTACTGGCGCAGCTGCCGGGCCATGTACTGCTTGGCCTTCTGCAGGGCAGCCTCCAGCTGGGCCAGCTTGGCATTGGCATCCTTAATGGCCATCTCCCCACGCTGCTCGGCATCAGCGATGGCAGCCTCCAGGGATGCTCTCTGGCCTTTGAGGGCCTCAATCTCCACCTGCAGGTGGCTGATGCTGCGGGTTATCTCAGAGATCTCAGTCTTCGTGTGGCGGAGGTCATCCCCATGCTTCCCAGCCAGAGTCTGCAACTCTTCATACTTGATCTGGTACATGTTCTCAGCCTCGGCACGGCTGCGGTTGGTGATCTCCTCGTACTGGGCCTTGACCTCGGCGATGATGCCGTCCAGGTCCAGGGAGTGGCTGTTGTCCATGGACAGCACCACAGATGTGTCCGAGATCTGAGACTGCAGCTCACGTATCTCCTCTTCATACAGCTGCCTGAGGAAGTTGATCTCATCAGTCAGCCCCTCCAGGCGTGACTCAAGCTCCACCTTGTTCTTGTAAGCTTCATCCACATCCTTCTTGATGAGGACAAATTCATTCTCCATCTCTGTACGCTTGTTGATCTCATCTTCATATTTATTCTTGAAGTCCTCCACCAGCCCCTGCATGTTGCCAAGCTCCGCCTCCAGCTTCATTTTCTCCTGACCCAGTGAGTCCAGCTGCCGCCGGAGGTTGTTGATGTAGCTTTCGAACATGTTGTCCAT